GCCGGCTCAATTCCCCACCCGGCAGAAATGGGAGCAGGTCGAGTTGAGACAACGGCAACTCAACATCGATCCCCGGATCCCTCCCGCTTGGGGCCCAAACGCACGACTTTTCCAGGCCGCGTCCAGCCGCGGCGACGAGGGGGGCCCCGACGTGCATGCACCGTGGACTCAGGCCCTGAGCTGGCTCCGAGCCCGAGGCCAGGTTGGCGCGGATCGTCGGCACGTTGACGTCCAGGTCGCAGAGCACGGCCTCGTGGCCCGCGAGCGCCAGCGACAGCCCCGCCAGCCCGGTGCCTGGCGGGCGGCCCGAGCAGACGGGGGCGGAGCACCGCGCCGCACCGCCGATGCACCGGCGACGGCTGCGGCAGGCTCGTGCCCCGACGACCCTGGCGATGGCTTCCGACGCCGGCGTCGACCGCTCGACCTTGAAGCAATCCGGCGGCCGCTCGACCGCCAGGCCCTTCCGTGTCGGCCGATGCCGGGCCACCGGCGGCGCAGCCCCGGGCGCCCGCGAAGGGGGCCGCCGCCGCGTGTCGACTCGGCGCGAGCCTGCCCGTGGGGGGAGCATCGAGGAAACTGCACGAGCACAGCTTCTCGGAGTCCCGCGCGCACCTCCCAGATCGGCGCGGGGCAGGAGCACCGCGGCGCACCGCCGATGTGCACCGCCAGTGCATCCGCGACGTCTGGGGGGGCAACCAGCACCGCACAAACATAGATCGGAGTGGGCGAATCGGATCCGGCCGAATCGGAGGAGTCGAGGTGAGCCCTGCTCGGGCGGTGGTGGTACACCTCGGGGAGCAACAACAACACCACCACCAACAACATCAACATCAACATCCACATCACCATCAACAGCAACAACACCAATACCAACACCAACAACAGCAGCAGCAACAACAACTGCACAAGCATAGATCTTGGGAGCCCCGCGCGCACTTCTCGGATCGGCGCGGGGTCCCCCCGGCGGCGCCTCTGGCGCGAGCTCCGCCGCGTCGGGGGGTGCTCCAGCGCCGAGCCAAGAAATCAGCACGGAGCTATGAGAAATTATGCTGATGCTTTCTTTCTTGTGCTTCGAGAAGCAGACTCCGCACCGTCGATACATCGTCGATGCTTCTGCATCGTCGATGCATCGGCGACGCATCCGCGACGTCGGTGCTGAGCAGATCGGGCCCCACATCGAGCCGCGTCGCTGCGCGTCGATGCTGCGGCGCGCTCCTTCGACCCCCTCCGCTCGGACTGCCGCTTGGAAGGCCCGGAGGGTGCCGCACGACAGGTCCAGGAAGCGCAGGGCCCCGGCGCCCGCGGCGCCGCAGGCCAGCTCCCCCTCCAGGTGCCTGAGCAGCGTGTGCTTAAGCGATCCCGGTCCCCACTGGCGTGGCCTTGGCCCCACTGGCCGACTTACCCACCCAGGCGGGGATATATCTGATCAGGGGTCGAGGGTTTTCATGCCCCCCTCCTCGGGGGCGCGCAACGATGGCTTAGCCGTCCATGGATTTGGCGCGCGGTCGCCAAATCCATGGATCGGGGGAGGTGCCCTCTCCAAAATGCAGCTGGTGCCGCCTCGTTCGGCGGCGGAAATCAAATATTTTCTATGGAAACGGGACCCGCCGCTAATCCACGCCCCCTTCATCCATGTTTGCGATCGGCTGACCTCCCCAAGATGGCACGTGCCCCAGGGTTCCACAGGGCCCTCCAGATGGGACGGGTCGGAGCGACGACGATGACGACGACGACGACGGCAGCGCAGCATCACCCCAGCACCAGCACCCCCCTCCACCACGCAACGCCCACAGGGCCACGACCACAGGGAATTATCCAGCGTGGGGGGGGGGGGGGGGCGATCCCATCAGCATTGAGGGGGGGCGGGGTAGAGCCCTGGATCATATATGATTTAGGGTTGCACCCCCCCCCTCAATGCATATGGGATCGACCCCTCCCCCCGCTGGACGTGTACGCCCGTGAGCCTCGCGAAGGCTTTGCGAATGGGATCGCTCCCCGCACACCCCCCTGTGGTTATTGACCTGTGACGTGGCGTGGTGGAGGGTGCAGGTGCTCCCACCCTGTGGGTGTGGGGTGGTTCGTCGCCGTCGTGGTCGTCGGCGGCGTCGTCTTCCGTCGGCGTCGGCGTCGTTGTCGTTGTCGGCAGCGGCGGCGGCAGCGGCAGCGGCAGCGGCTGCGGCTGCGGCGGCGGCGGCGGCGTCGGCGTCGGCGTCGGCGGCGGCGGCGTCGGCGTCGGCGTCGGCGTCGGCGTCGGCGTCGTCGTCGTCGTCGTCGTCGTCGTCGTCGTCGTCGTCGTCGTCGTCGTCGTCGTCGTCGTCGTCCCCCCCATCCGATCTGGGTGAAAGGGGGATGGCTGTGGAACCCTGGGGCCCATCCCATCTGGGGGGGGCTGCGAACCCTCGCCCAGGATCACATGTCTGCTCCTTCGAGTTGCCGCGGGGCCCATCTCCACCCCACCGACGAAGAGAAGGGGTCTTAGACATCATGCCATAGCGACGTGACGCCGCGGCTTACGCGGGCCGGCGGCGCGGCACGCCACCTTGGAAATGGGGGGGCCTACGCGCGACCTGGCGCGGGACGGTTGCGCGCTGTCGGCGAAGACTGCCCTCTCTTTCAGCGCCGCTGACCTGGTAAAGGGCTGGTGGAGCTCGGGTGCAATGGCCCGTGGGTGTGGGGATGAGGTACGGAAACATGAATGCAATGTTTGATAAGAAACTGCGTCCCAAACAGACAGCGGCTGCTGCTGGGCAGGCGGCCTTCTGTCTCGGATGGCTCAGATGGACAGCGTCCGCGGCGACGCCGACAACGAATCCTGTTCAAGAAGGTCAGGGACTGCTGCCGGTCTTGGTACCCATTCCTTCCATACTCTGGATGGGGCATTTATCCAGGAGTGGGGAATGATTGACCTTCCGATGGGGGTTGCCCTTCCCCCCCCTCCTCCTCCCCCTTCTCCCCCTCCTCCTCGTCCTCCTCCTTTCCCCTCCTCCTCTTCCTTCTCCTCCACGTCGTCGTCCTCCTCCTCCTCCTCCCCCTCCTCCTACTCCTTGCTCCTCCTCGTCTTCTTCATCGAACCCCCTCCCTACACGTTCCGACAACACGTGCCCAACCACCCCCGCGGACCCAAAGGGTGGGGGCGATTATGCCCCACCAAGAGCACGGCAAGTTCGTATCGTGCCGACTTCAGCATTGGTTTCTGAATCAGCCGTTTCCGACACGTCTGGTCCTTCAACATCTACCGATTCTGGGCCGCCGGCGGCGCCCATCGTCGAACGCTGGTGGCGGGGTCGCCGCCAGTCGAGACGACCCGAACCCGTCGTGCCCGCTTGGATCGTACCGGCGGTTGCACGGTGCCGAGGCCTGGCCGCGAGCCACGCGCCCGCCCAGGTGCGCCAGCCCGTGTTGGACAGCGCGGGGTCGCCGTCGCACACGCGGACGGGCCGCTGGAAGAGGGTGTAGACCTCCAGAGGGGGCGGCGCGCGGGAGCGGGGCAGCGGCACGAGCCCTCCTCCTCCGCCGCCTCCTCCGTGCCACAGGGCTTCCTTCGCGCTTGTAGCATGTAGTGTGCGTGTGTGTGTGTGTGTGCGTGTGTGTGCGCGTGTGTGTGTGTGTGTGTGTGTGTGTGTGTCTGTGTGTCCACGCCCAGATGGCTATGTGCTGCGTCCTCTCGTCCGCGCTACGACCTCAGGTCAGACTACCCCTGGTTGGCGGCCAATGCCCTCCCTTCTCCTCGCCATCCACGCCCGGATGGCTACGTGCTGCTCCCCGGCTGAGCCGGCGCGCGCGGTCTCCGCATCGTCGCCGCGCGCGATGCCGCGACCGCAACAAAAGTGTGCGTATGTGTGCGTGCTTCTGCGGGGTCCCCGCCGTCACCGCTGGCCTTCGGCCCTCCTTGGCCTCGCACCGTGCCCTGGTCACCAGCGCCCGCTGGCCCTGGCACATCCTGGCAATCGCTGCAGCTTCGCATACTCCCCGCTGGTCCTTCCATGCCACGTCGGTCACGTTTGGCCGTCGCCTCCCGCTCTATCGTCGACCGCCTGGCATCGTCGGTTGCCTTCGTCTGTCCCCCTCTCGGTGGTTCAAAGCTGGGGTCCTGAGGGATGGGGTCCTGAGGACGAGGTGCCTCAAACAACGTGGATCCACCGGTGGATCCCTTCCTATCCTTAGGACCCTATCCCGCAGGACCCCATCTTTGAACCACCGACCCTCGTCTGACCCCCCCGTCATCCACGCCCGGAGGACTTATGGCCGGCAGCTGGCGCTGCTTGCCGTTTGCAGGCGGCTTGAGGGCTCAATCGCCGTAGACGCGCGCGCGCGACCGATGCTACGGACGTTCTCCGCATTGTCGCTGAGCGCAGGGCCGCGACGCCAAACAAGTGCGCGTGAGTGTGTGTGTGTGTGCCTGTGTGCGTGTGTGCGCGTGTGTGTGTGTGTGTGTGTGTGTGTGTGTGCGCGCGCGCGCGTGTGTGTGTGTGCGTGTGTGTGTGTGTGTGTGTGTGTGTGTGTGTGTGTGTGCGCATGTGTGTGCGTGTGTGTGCGTGTGTGCGTGTGCGTGGGTGTGCGTGTGTGCGCGTGTCGGCGGCGAGCCCCGGGAGGGAAGCGAGAGGGGGCAGGCCTGCTCAGAAGGCTCGGACGTCCCTAGGCCTTCTGAGAAATCCCACCAGCCCTTTGGGCGTGAGTGGTTTAGCGAGCCTTCTCTGTTCTCAACCCCCCAACCCCCCTTCTTCCCCTTCGGGGAGGGGTTTACCCCTCCCCCTACCCCCTCCCCCTGGACCTGGAGAGCGCGGCCCGCGGGTCGTCAGGGTGTTTTCTAAGCCCTCCCCGAAGACAGCGAAAAACGTCTCAGAAGGCCAGATGGCTTCTGAGAAGCCCCGCAACTTTCTGAGCAGGCCTTCTCCTTCTCGCTTCCCCCCCTCGCTCGCCGCCGGACATCTGTCCAAACGGGTCCCTGGGCCCCGCCCGGGGTCCATCCGACCCCCCGCTTTTCACCCAGGATCGAGCTTCGAGGCTCCCGGGGCCCGCAAACCGCCCCCGGAGGCTGAACGAACGAACGAGCTAACGAGCTGACGAAGCGCCGGAGTCGTGCGCGCTCCGCTGGGGAGCCCGCCCGTGCCCTTTAGGGCATGGCGTGGAGGCCGTAGCCTCGGAACATCTAAGCTGGGTGCCTGTCCGTCGCTTCGGCGAGGCGCGCCTGCCGAGAAACGACAATCATCAAAGACTGTCTGGAAGCTCGAACCTCGAAGTTCGAACCTCGAACTTCCCCCCCTCGCTCGCCGCCGAGTGTGTGCGTGTGCGCGTGATCGGGGATCTTTTGACCCAGGTCAGTCCAGACCCGGGCCAGCAGGAAACCCAACAATTGCAATGCAAGAACAAAAAACTGCAACGCAGGTCTTCGCAAACCCGGGCCAGCCAATACGCGCGGCCGCCTCGCGGCTCGCTCACCCGGGTCAGCCAGAGGGGGTCTTCGCAGGATCCTGCAAGATCTGGTGCCCTGGCTAACCCCCGTTTGCATTGACCCCTGTCTTGAGAAGGGACCGACCGTTCTGGCATTCCTCTAGTCCTACCACGACATGCTCTTCGAACCCAAAAATGGTCTAAGAACAAAAACAATGTGTTCTTAGAACATCAGCCTCATGCGTTAAAACTAGACCGTCCCGGCGAGAAAGGTTCTAAGAACATTCCGTGGAGACCACGACAGGTTCTTAGAGCATTGCTTGGTATAGGGCTATAGGCACGCCGGGACGCTTCGCCGCTGCTTGACCGTCTCTTGAGCCCCGATGTGGTCGGGGATCTCCTGACCCGGGTCAACCCAGACCCGGGTCAGCCAGGGCTTGCAGAATCCTGCAAGATCCTGCAAGACGCGGCCCCCCCCCCTGCCCGGCGGCCGCGGGGGCCGCGCGAGGCCGGCACGGACGCCCCGCCGCCATCGCTCGGGCGTCCTCTCCCGAGGCACTTTTCGGCTCCTCGTGCGCGTTTTTTCTTGCTCGGGGATCCAGGATGCTCCTCGGTGGCCCTCGCCGTGGAAAAAAAGTGCACGCGTCCGAGCGGTGCCAAGTCCCAAATGGGGTTGGAGCGCAGGTCTAAGGCGCATGAGAAGGACGCGCGGCTAGGATTCGGGGGGGCGACAGGGTAGGATAGCAAAGGGTACACCCTGCGAAATGCTTTAGAAATCATGGGTTAAGAAATTCATAGTCTCAGAATTTGAAATCAAACCCAGAATGTCGATTCAAATATTAAGATTTACATTGAAACATTAAGAATAATCGAGACTCTGGCCGAAAACTTGGGTTTTCTTAAACATCGCCTGGAGTGTAGGGCAGAGAATTCGCTCACGTGGCTGGTTTTCCTGGCGCCCCCGGGCGCTGGAAGGCACCCACGCATCGAGGAATGGGCCCGGCGGCGGAGCGAAAGCCAGCTGCATGCAGCAGGTGTATTTCAGGAGAGGAAAAAACACACAGACACAATTAATCGTCGATTCCCAGGAAAATATGGGAAAATATGGGAAGTGGGGGGGAAGACAGAAACCCAGAAACTATGGGAAAATATGGGCAATCTTTTTATTTGTGTGTATTTATGTGTGTGTCCTGGGGCCCCTTCAGTATTACCCCCCTCCCCTTCCTCCCCTATCCTGCCCTGTCACCCGGCCCGACGGATGCACGGGCCTTGGAGGGCCACGTGGGCGTTCTCGGGCGGGTATTGGCCAGCGAACGCCGCCAAGGCTGGGCCCAAGGGGCAAGGATTTAAGTCGGGCCTGTCCCCCTACAGGGGGACTTTCGACGAAAAATAAAGAATACCCCCAACAAAAACTCCAAAATGGTGAAAACAGATATTCAAACCATGGTCCCCATACTGTTTTTTACTATTTTTGAAGATTCCCTCTGTAGCCGGACAGGCCCCACATGAGGCACGGATGCAAGGGTGGCCTTGGAAGGCTGCTCGTCCTTACTGTGTGACTTGACTGTACACCCTGCGAAGTGCTTAAGAAATCATGGGTTAAGAAATTCATAGTCTCAGAACTTGAATAAGCCGAACATTTCTATTAACATCGAAAGATTTACATCGAAACGTTAAGAATAATCGAGACTCTGGCCGAAAACTTAAGTTTTCTTAAGCATCGCCTAAGGTGTAGATGGGCTTGGAGAATCGCCGCTGCATCGGCGACGTCGGCGTCGCCCCCGGCGGCGCTCCGCCGCGCCGAAGGAGGGGGGGACCCCAGGGCCGAGCCGAGAACTCCGCGCAGAGCTCGGAGAAAGCAAGCCAGTGCTTCCTCTGTGCTTCGAGCCGCGGGCTCCGCTCGGTCGATGCCTCGCCGTCGGCGACGCGTCCGCCATTCGTCGGCGTGGAGAACTCGCCATCGCTGGGACGTCCATGCCCTGTGCATGTTTCGATGTCGTGAGTTTTTTCCCGCAAGATGATCCCAACTACTCCTCGATGGCCCTCGCCGAGGAACAACAATGCTACGTTCGAGCGATGCCAAGCGACGCATCCGCGACGCCGGCGTTGCGAAGATCGGCCCCCACATCGACCCGCTCCTCCAACCCCATCTGGGAGGCCCCTGGGAGCGGGCAGGCCTCGGAGGCAGCAGCGAGCAGGAGGAGAACGAGAGAGGAGGGGAAAAGGAAAGCATAAGTCAAGAAGATAACATAAGATAATAATAATAATACTGATAATAATAATAATAATAAAGAAACTACAATTAGCAGGGCTGGCCCTGAACGGTACTTTTCGTTTCGATGTCCGATTTGTTATTCGATCTGTTCTGCCTGTTCCCCTGGGCCTCATTGCCAAACCGAAAACAGAACGAAGCCAGAAATCCAGCAACACAACGTTTAGGTCCGTCCAGTCCTGGCAGATGGAAAGTCACATAAACGCGCACGCGAACGCACGCACGCGGGCAACGACACTAACACAGAGACAGACAGACAGACAGACGGATAGACAGACAGACTAAAAGACAGACAGACAGACAGTCATAGACAGTCATACACACAGACTGACACGGACAGGCACAAACACACGCTGATGGACACAGACCGACACAGACAGACACAGACAAACGCAAACAGACACCGACCGACACAGACAGACATAGGCAGACACATACAGACACAGACAGACACGGACAGACACAGACAGACACACACAGACAGACACAGGCACAGTCACACGCAGACAGACAAGACACAGACAGACAAAAACACATGCAGACACAGACAGACGCAGACAGACACAGACCGACACAGACAGACACATAAACACACATACAGGCACAGACAGACAGACAGACAGACAGACAGACACAGACAGACAGACAGATGGACAGACACAGACTTACACAGACACACGCACACGGACGCGCACACACAAATATCATGTGCGGACGTGCTTGTGAGCACCCCCCTGCTCTTCGCAGGGTGATCCAATATGCTCCTCGCCGAGAACGAATCCACACGTTCGTAAGACGAAGCCAGGACGAGGATAACAACGGGTGAGGATAAATAGAGAATATTTGAGATCCGGCGACTCTGGAACATGTCTCGGGCGCCGCGGCCTTCTCAGAACGTTCCGGAACGCTCTGAGTTCGTTCCGAGAGCGTTCCGGAACGCTCTGGAAAGGATCTATCTATTTATCCTCGTCCTGGCCCCGTCCGAAGCATGCACACGTGTAACCGCTGCGAAGGAAAGAAACTTCTCGTCGCCGCGGCCAAATCCGCCTCGACAAACGGAGCGGGATGGATCCCCCGAGGAGGGGTCCGGGGACGGTTTTGGAGCGGAAGAGGGTGCAGGCCTCCCGGAGGGGGGGGGGGGGGGGGGGGGGGGGGGGAGCGGGGGCCACGGGCAGGTCGGAGAGGCAGGTGGCGATTCTCTGGGGTGCTGGGTGGCGCGGGAGCGGCTGTGGTTGGCGCCGGGTGGCGGCGGTGGTGCCGAGCGGCCGTGGAGGTGGTGGGTGGTGCTGGGTGGTGGACGGGTGGTGGTGGTCTTGGGCGGCGCTGGAGGAGGAGGAGGAGGAGGAGGAGGAGGAGGAGAGGAGGAGGAGGAGGAGGAGGAGGAGGAGGAGGAGGAGGAGGAGGAGGAGGAGGTGGTGGCACGGGCGGGGCGGCTGCCACCCGGGGCTCGGCTGCGCGAGCTCGGGCGCGGGGCGGGGCCTTCGTCCTCGGCGGCGGTGCTGCCTGCCGCGGGGGCCCGCGCGCCAGGGCCGCCGCGCCGCAGGCGGGCGCCGCTGCGGGCGGGGGAGCGGCGGCAGCGGGCCTTCGGTCGGGGAGGAGGGGAGAGGGCAGGCCGAGCTGGTCGAAGGGTCCAGTGGCTACTAGCCGCTGTAGCCATGGGCCCGACGAAAAGGGCTCAATGCTCTGGTGAGCTCTGCGGGCCTCAGAGACAGAGACATCTTCGAATGGGTTCCTGATTCAGGGTGCACCCTGGGAGAAGGTCGAGGGGGAGAACGAGGCCGAGGAGAATGCTAGGGAGTGTAAAGCCGAAGGACGAGGATGGGGTGCTCGAGTAGGAGATCGACTGCAGAATTGTTGTGCCCCACAATTGTTGGTTTTTGGTTCTCGCATCTACAAGCGATATGTAGAATGTTCGTAGATCTTCGACAGTTCCAGGCTATTTCGCAGATCCGACGAACATTTGAACTTTGGGGCACCTGGATTCGTTAGTCGACCTCCTACTCGAGCTGCGAAACCTTCCCATCCCTCCAAATAACTAATGCATCCACCTCGTGAACCGTCGTGGCGGTGAACGCTGTCAGTGGTGAGGCCGATTTGCGGTTTTGTGAAGCCGCAGCCAAACGCCAAGTGGAATTCCTGATGCCAACGGTCGAACGCTCTCCCCTTAGGAGTCCTGCACGTCACGACGATACGGCTGCTGATGACAATGACTTCTGACGCTGACGGCGACACAATGTCGACACTATCTCGATGATCGCGCTGCCATTGTTCAACGGTCGGAAGCGCAAACCCACATCGAGGCGATGATGATGCTGCTGCTGATAATGATGAGGCTGATGATAATGATGCTGATGCTGATGCTGATGATGGCGATGATGATGATGATGATGATGATGCTGGTGATGATGATGATGATGATGATGATGATGATGAGGATGATCCGTATGATGATGCTGCTGCCGACGATCGTGACGATATGAATGCACTACTGGCCGCACGCAATGATCACCATACAATAAAACCATCAGACATATCAGGTCCGACCGACTCGCACGTAGAGTAACAACGCCAACCTAGGAGAATGTGTGGCACACTGGTGGGCGAATGGTCGATTGCAACATGCCTACAACGCAATCCCTCCCAGCCTGATATCTGCCGCTGCTTGCCCTTTTCAGCAAGAAACGGCTTCAATAAGGTAAACTATCGGCGCGAAATCGCTGGTGGACTCGGTCAACATGTTTGGACCAGTTGCTGCCACGTGCGTGAGTGGTATGGTATTTTTGTTCACCAGGCTGACTGGTGAACACTTCGTCGCGCGATTCAGTGGCGGATTTCGCATCAGGGTCTTTCCCAAACATCTGCGGCGGTGCTGGGCCGCTCGTCGGCTGTGATGAAGTCCTGCTCCTCGTGCAGCCGTGGGGAGCGGCTGTGCAGCCGTGCCCATGCTTTGGCTCATGGCCACGAAAGAGGAGTGGGAGAGGGAGAGAGAGAGGGAGATGGAGGAGGGAAAGGGGGAGGGAGAGCGAGGAGGAGGAGGAGGAGGAGGGGGCGGAGGGAGAGAGGGAGGAGGAGGAGGAGGAGGAGGAGGAAGAAGAGGAGGAGGACCAGTGCAAACCCAAGAGTCATCAACGATGTTGGAGTAAAGCCCCCCCTTCAAGCTCCCTCTTCAAAGGCCCCTACAACGGTTCATTTCCATTCAGGGAACTGCCTCGTTTGAAGACAACCGTTTGAAGACCCTGAAACATGCCCATACATCGTTCTCGGGATTCCTCCGCCACGGATCAACCTGACTGTTGCGTCCTGGCGATCCTGAATCGTGCCAAAACGCCATTCCTAAGACTTCAACACCGCGAGCCAACATAACTGTTGCACCCGCATAGTCCTGATTCCGTCCAAGAGCGCAATTCCTGGTACGCTGATCATGGAAACCGTGAAACTCCAAATTTCATGAACAAGAGTGCGCGGCGCTAAAGCAAAAACCACATTTTGAAAAGGAACCGCCCTCAATCCCTGAAACCCTTGCAATTTGTAAAAACGAGTGTGCACGGCGCTAAAGCGAAAACCGCATTTTGAAAACGGGTCGCCCTCACTGTGTGAAGCGCTGGCAATCTTTTAAAACGAATGCGCGTGGCGCTAAGGAGGGGAACCACATGTTGAAAACGGGCGGCCCTCAATCCGTCAAATTCTTGCACATGTTTAAAATGAATGTGCGCGGCGCTGGGGCGAGAGCCACATTTGGAGAACGACCCGCCCTCTATTCGTGAAATTGATGTAAATTTCAAGGTTTGGGGTCATACATGGTGAGGAAGTCTCAGGCGAAACGACCGGCCCGCCCGAAACACTTGCGTTGGGGTGCGACAGGGTGAAGTAAACTCTAAGGAAAAAAGAATGGAGGACGATTCTGAAGGGGCGGAGGAGGATGAGGAGGAGGAGGGGGGGGAGGAGGAGGAACGAGGAGGAGCGAGGAGGAACGAGGAGGAGCGAGGAGGAGGAGGAGGAAGAGGAGAAGGAGGAGGAAGAGGAGGAGAAGGATTGCCCAAGCAACCGCTACGAATGGACCATGGGCGAGTGGGTGCCTATACCAAAATATGTGTGTCCAACTTGCTTGTTCTCTAGGCGTAGGGGTGCCTAAAGCGGCGGTTGGTCTCTCGGGATCGGCAGGCTGACTACGTCCATCAGCAGCCAATGGCTGCCAAGTACCGCCCAATCGTTGGCATTGGTGCGGCAAGATGGAACTACCTTGTTACGGGTTTCGCATGTGCACCGGAGGGAGGAGAGCGAGGATAAGGAGGAGGAGGATCGAGGAGGAGGAGGAGGAGGAGGGGGAGGAGGAGGAGGAGGAGGAGGAGGAGAGAGAGAGCAGGAGGAGAGAGGAGGAGGAGGAGGAGGAGGAGGAGGAGGAGGAGGAGGGAGGAGGGAGGAGGAGGAGGAGGAGGGGAGGAGGAGGATGAGGGGGGGGATACTGATATTGAGGATGGGGGATGAGGGATGCTGCTGCTGATGATGCTGCTACTGCTGCTGCTGCTGATGATGCTGCTGACGATACTGATGATGCTGATGATGATGATGACGAGGGGGAGGTGGAGGAGGCCGAGGCGGCGGAGGGGGGGGGAAACGGAAGAGGAGGAGGAGGAGGGGCCCGGGACGCCGTGCCCCGAAGGATGAGGATAGGATACGGAAGAGGATGGTGATGATGATGATGATGATTGTGATGCTGATGATGATGATGGTGATGATGATGAGAGGAGGAGGAGGAGGCGGAGGAGGAGCCGGCGGAGGAGGAGGAGGAGAAGGAGGAGGCGGAGAAGCAGGAGGAGGGGGGGGAGGAGGAGAGGAG